GTTTTCATTAAACAGCTTCATAAGACGCGTTCAAGCACGGTTATGACATGATATGCACTAAGACGAATGCTATTTTGCATATTGTAGCAGCAGTGGTGCGTTATCCTATTGACAAAAATGGCGATTGTCTTGGCTCCCCACAAGTAGGAGGCTCCAAACCAATCTTTTATGAAAAAATACTTTTTCCGAAAATATCAACAATTCCCTGAAGAACGTCTGAATTCAACAATATACACGGGGCCTCTAATTTAAGTTTGCCTGGGCCCCATGTAGCTATAACATGTCACTGAATATTGGAAAGTTCTATATCTACAAATGCAAGTATGCGTTATGCTACCTATTTTTTAATCGCTAGCAGTACCACAAGTCCCATAGAAATGAGCTTTGTAACTGAATTCAAATGCGGAAAAAATTTCGCATATCGTAAAACGACAGCCCATAAAATTTGATCAAATTTTATGCGCTGTCGTTAAATTTTTCGTTGTAGATAAAACCAAAGTTCTGGTCACAGATGGATCGCAAACCAACGTTCACTTAAATGGAGTGTTAATTGAAATAGTTCAAAAATTCAAATATTAGGGATCATTGGTCTAAGAAAGGAAAGTGTCGTCTACCTCTGATATCAATAACCGTATCGGTCAGGCAACATCGGCATTCGCCTCACTAAAATGGTGTTTATGGCGAAAATCTAATATCGCACTTAAAACTAAAATTCGCTTATTTAGGAAGGTATTCTTGTTAAATGTAACTATTTGGCTACTCTGCGGTCAACAGTTTGCCAAGTACATTAACTGAATTCTAAAAGATATAGCTGTAATCTAACATATTCTTTTTATGTAACCTGTTTTACATGTATTATGCTTGTAAACATTCTCCTCTCAACTTCGGTGGCGCTCTGAGGAGCCGAGGCCGTCTTCGGAAAAAAGATTTATACAAAGTGAAGTTGTAATCTTGTCGACTCCTCTATGGATCTGAAAAGTGGACTTTAATCGAACCAGATCTGAAAAAACTCGAGGTTTTCCAAATGCTATGTTTGCGACAGATCCTGGGTGTTACCCTTCGCGAACACCTACGAAATAAAATTATTCGGACTTACTGCGACAATCAGCCAACCGTCGAAGTGATCAACTGAAATGATAGATGGTTTGGCTGTGTCTGTAGAATACATACCATATAAGATGTTTAGGCGGAAACGTCCTGTGGGCGTTTCCGCCTAAACCCTCTCCTTACTTCCCTCTCCTTACTTTCCCTCTCCTTACTTTCCCGCCGAAAGTAAGGAGAGAAGCACCTAAAAAGTGGTCCAACCAAATGGACCACTTTTTAGGGTCCATTTGGTTTTGCATTATTGAGGCTTAATCGCAGAGTTTGTAGAAGAATATGCAAAATCTGCGACTAAGCCTCAAGAATGCCAAAGGTATAGCCATGGACCGACAAGCGTGGTAGACTATTACTAGTGCTGTCCGAATTCCTGCAGCACTAACAGTTGTGTATGGGCTCCGGAGGATATCCCAATATATTTTCAAAATAAAACTCATGAAAATTTCCTTTGATAACTTACCTCGAGAATATCTATAGTGGCCGATATCGACCCTCAGAAATCGATAACGAATTTTCTGAGGTCGATTAACATTGGCTCATTTAATCCAATGTATATGACAATTTAAGATGTATATTTTGCACAATAAGTTGATATTTCCTATAAAAACGGTGTATGAATTAATACTGGCTCGCGTTATTAAATATTCAGCAAAAAGGAAGAGTCGAAAAAGGTTTAGGAATCCTTGAAGAAATCGGAAATCCAAACAATTTGGGGATCCCCGATTTACATACACTTCAATAATTTATGGTTGAACTTGAACATTCAGGCTTAATAAGTTTATCTACAATAATTGTGGCATAATATTTGCACGTAAAAATTAATTAAAACATTCTCATAAGATTTACTTTTTAAAAAAATTAAAAAATTTTTGTCTTTGATTTAGATGATCAACATTCAGAAAAGATACACAGGTCCAGCAATAGGTGTTGCACTTCTCCAATTTGTAGTTAAAAGAAATATTGTAATTAAGGCAAGTTTTTAAATTTATATTATTATATTTATTTCACTAACTTACGTTATAATTACTTTGACCATTATTACAGTTATGGAATTCCATGGTGGATTATTTTCTCTTTCTCCTAAAGTTCCAGAACATAAGCGGAGGAGCGAAATGTTCGAAAGGATTACTGGAATCTTACTGATAGCATTCATTAAATATTTTCTTAACCTTGGAATACGCAATTTAATTTAGCAGCACCCATGCAGTTTTCAATATTATTACTAGTTGAGCAGAGGATGGCGGCCAAGACCGTTGATGCTTATGTTAGGACTGTCACCAGTGTGACCTTTTAAGGCAGACACAGAAGTCTTGTTGGCGTAGTTTCGGTTTTTCGCGAGCGGTCGGAATCGGGAGGATATTAGATATATATATTTTGATTGTTTACTAATTAAAAACATCAAACGAGTTCTTTATATATATGTAATTTATGTATAATTTAGGGTAAATTGTTTACTTATCGACGGTTCTTTAAAATCATGTCATTTAAAATGGCAAAAGGCAAAACATCTGACGACCGTGGGCATGTTTTTTGAGTTTTACATCGGCCACAACGCTTACGATATCAACGAAGACTCACAGTTTATCTTCTTACAATATTTATATGCTTTGAACAATTGAATATTCGTTAATAAAGGAATTGCATAATCGTTTATTATGAAAGTGGTGCAAGTCTATTTCCCATAGTCTAATTAAACATTGGGTAAGTTAAGGATTAAAACTGGTGGCTTCTTGCCATTCGACTCACAATGTAATAAGAAAATCTAAGCGTTTATGAGGAAAATATTTAATTTTGTATTCAACATCGATAGAAGTGTCGAAATTATGAGTTCATGACTTCTCCAAAAGATTCTTGTCGTTTTAACAATACATAAATTTGATGTCGATTGTTTCTACTTATGTTCAAGGTAGCATTGAGTAGGGTGGTTTGTGATCGTAATAGATGGACAATTCCTTCGTTACGCTGTTTAATTTGGGAAATCTCAGTATTTAAAGCTTCAATGTCTTCTGACGTAGCAGTTTCGAAAAGGAATTTAAGAGCTTTTCCCCCTAGATTTATTAAGCCTCTTCTTCTTTTATGAGGGGTACGTAGGGTGATTAGTGCCATAAGTTCTCAATATTCTCGTTGGTAATTAATTCTTATCAGCTCGAAGCCTTTGGGAGGGAGTTGCGTGGTGCCGTTGTTCTGGAGATATTGTTCTTGACGCTCAATTATAGCCTCCAAATAAGAAAGGGATTGTGAGACGAATTGGACTTGTCATTCCAAGTGTTCGAAAGAGAGATCGTTTACTAGAGTCCAGTGTCTTGAGGTTATTAGGAAATTTCCTTGGTGTAGAAAAATTACTCCTTTCGTGAACTCTATTGGTCTCGACGGAGGTTCCAATGCTGTACTGTACACCTAAAGCCCTGGTCACACTATGCGATTTCCAGCCGCGCAGGCGACTGCAACCGCGACGGCTGTTCCCGTTAACTAGTAATCCCCCCTCGAAAACCGGCGCGACTGCAATCGCAACTAGAAACAAAAAGTTTGTTCTACTCGCGACGATTGCAAATGCGCATCCAATCAACAAACGCCTTTATGCCACGTCATACAGTGACAACATTGAAAATACTTCATCATCATGGCGGATAGTCGGAGGATTAATACTTTTACAGAATCGAGATTGATCGAGCTTATCCAGGCTCACGAATACCTGTGGGATTTTAATTCTTCGTTTTATCGAAGGTTTTATCTTTTCATGTATTTTCGCCAGCTCTATTAAAATAATCGCCTTTTTTCTTTTATTCATTCCAGAAAAGGAACTGCTTGCTATTTTAATAAGAAAAGTGGCTAAAATTCCGTAAATACTCTGAAGTAGATCGTAAAATATCGGCAAACTCACGAAAGTAGTCAAAAACAAGCTACTGTAATTTTATTGGTTTATTGTAGGGTCACGTGTTTCCGAGTTGCAACGTCAACGAACAATGTGTGACCACGAGAAGCGCGACTCGCGCTTGTTGCAGTTGCAGTCGCCTGCGCGGTTAGAAATCGCATAGTGTGACCAGGGCTTAATACTCAGGAAAATGACGATAACTTGGAGATAAAGCATCTTGGTCTCCTGGATGAGGCGTTTAAGTTCAGATAAGGGTGCTTGGCAAAAGGATATCTCCTGAATTAGAATTTTCTTCCTCTAGAACAGGGAAATATTTCTATTAACATTGAAGCCCTTCTGAAAAAGGGGGTGTGTAAAATATCTCCCTTAAGGGGACGGATTTAGAATAGGTTAGACGTGTTAGAGCAGTATTTCTCAACCTCTAACGAATCGTCGCCCCCTTCAACGTAGTATCGCCCCCTTCAATAAAACCCTTCACTAGTATTGCCCCCTTCACTACAAAATTCCGATGCCGAGGGACAAGGCTAACGCCAAATTCGTACTGCATCTAATAGACTAGTGACTAGTATAATGTTATTTGTTTAATTATTGTACGATATAACGAATAAAATATCTAATTATTCTTAATATAATGTTATACTATATCGCCCAGAAAATTGCTTTTCGCCCTCAGAATATAAATTGTTACTAATCGCCTCCTGAACATGGAAAAACGCCCACATGGGGGCGATATCGCCCCTGTTGAGAAACACTGTGTTAGAGTATTCTACTATTCCTGGAAATCTCCTTTTCTTTAAAATAAAAATTTCAAAAGATACGCTTTTTAAAAGAATTTCTAAGATAATAATCTAGCTCTCTACTATATTTCTCTAAATTAATTTTTTTCCCCCGATAAGATTAAGCAATAAGCTATCTTTTTTTTTCTCTATGGTCCCGTTTGGGTGTTTAAGCCTACGGCCTCGTGCCGTATAAGTAAAAGAGGACTCACTATGAAATAAAATAAGTGATATTTATTGAAATTTTAGACTGATATACACTCGTTAGATTTTTCTCTGACTTGGAATACATAACTTTTTAACTATGCATAAAATATTAAATATATATAATTTAATTAGGAATACATTGTAATTATAGGATACGTTATGGAGCATACAAGTAATTAGTTGAGATTTATGGACGAGAGGGTCGGCCCCGGGTTCTAGGAGTTCGAACTTGGCGGGAGCGTCCCCTCACAGGGGGATAGGAAATAATGGGGTTCTGGCTGCATAAACAGGGAGGTGGTGGCGTTCAGTTGATAATATCGGTCGGTGCGCTCGGTTTCTTCCCGGAAGGCGGTTTCTAATTGTGGAGGACATTTATAACCGACGGGTAAGATAATCGTAGCTGGTGTAGTTTCGTGCCTGTGTTGGGCTCGAGTAAAGTTTAGTGCGGCCTGTAGGGAGGCGCTGTTCACTTCCGCTGATGGTGGTGGAGGAGGTGGCGATGAGACCGGGGTGTCCCACCAGTCATTAGATTGTGCCATTTCCGGAAGGTGTAGGAGATAAGCTTTATTGGTAGGTAATAGTTAAGAAAAATTTAAAATTATTGGATGCGCAAAAGGAATATATAACGTTGGCCGGGAACTGTAAAGGAGAGTGACGACTATAGGCGTCGGGTGTGCCGAATAAAGGAATATGAGAGGATGTCCATTGGAGGGTATTGGGCCCCTTTTTAAAAGCGATAAAGTAAGAAAAAGGAAAGAGATTTTGCTTAATAGATAGACCTTGATAGTGAAAATCGGATTTTCTTGATGAGATTTAGTGACCAGGAGGCGAAATTGCTGATCATGGGCCACTAAAATTGTAGCCCACATCTGGGGAGGGATTTATTTTGCGTGTACGCCTAAGAAGAACAAGGAGGATCGTTGAAGTAATTTTACTTGAGGATGGGTTTGCAGAAGGTGAGTCACTACGTCAGAAAACTCTCCTTCCCAAAGACAGTTGAGATTTTTAAAGGGGTAAGATAGGGATTTTAAAGGATACTGTCGTTGATGGGCTGCCCGATTTGGTTCCGGTAGACATTTGGGCAGCCAAAAGGTTGATTGATGCAAGGCAACCGCAAAGAAGACGCAATCTGCTCGACCACGAGGCTGCGGATGTGTCCCAGAGTCTCGCGACAAGTGTGGCATGTGGTGATTTGTGGCCGGCACTTGGAACAGACGATGTGTCCATTAGTACACTGGTAAACCGGCGTTTTGACCAGCTCGTAACAGATGGGGCAGCTTAGCAACGTCGTAAGAGCCATATCCTGCTCGTAGGAAGCCACATGTATCTGAAAGGGAGAAGGAAGATATATAAAGAGTTGTAACCAACAATATTATCATAAATTACTCAGCAAATCACTGTACATATAACTAAACTCCTTATTTCAAAACAAACGTTTTCAGCCAGATTCATAGGCCATCCTCAGGTTGAGAACCAAATTTGAATTAAAGGATTCCATTAATGGAGTACAAAATTCAAAAATTAAACATCAAAATATTAAATAACCAACGGAGTAACATAAAATAAAAATATAAAAATGTAAAACATGTACAGTACATAGAAGTATTAAGAAATGCAATTACTAATATGTGAGGATCAAGGTTAATCCTCACATATTAGTAATTGCATCAGTTAATCAAACTTTTCCTACGTGGATTAACACGCGTATCGATATTGTATGGAGATGAACTTCCCGTTTTGATTCAGATAACGTAAGAGACATTTCTTTAACAATAAAAATAAATATTTAATGGAACAAAAATAAACGAAATTATACAACTTTGAATATTCGAATAAAGCGATTTCGAGAGAGAGAGAGAGCTCACAAATTCTATCAAATTCATACTACCTTTAAATATCTTTTATCTTCGTCTGTCTTTCAGATGTAAACGACGATTCTTTCTTCTTAGTTCATTAATGGCACATATTTAAATAATTTTCTTCTGTATTTACCGACTTAACTTATTTTGTAGAATCTTCTGGATTCGATTTTGGGCGTTGGCTTCCAGGAGATTATATGGAACACGTCTGTCCTCTTCTGAATCTTTCGGCGTACTCCTCGAATAATGCTAGATTCTTCCTCTTTCTCGCGAATTTGAACCAATCACCAATTGGTATTTTTCCGCGTGAACAGGGAAAAAAAGGGGGTTTTACCGAGGGGTTGCAGTTCCCGGAGTTGCTAAGATTTTTAGGAGATAAGGGAAAACTAAAAGGAAGTCGATCTTCCGTTGAAGGAAGTGACTTTTACCCGTTTCCTTCGTTTTAGAAAAATAATTTTTCCATCAAAATTAAAGAATATTTTCGTCAAAAATTTTACTTCTTAATTTAATTGTTAATTAATTACATCTCACAAATACATCCAACAAAATTACTATTTTGACTGGTTAGAGATCTTATTAAATTTGTTAACTATAAACTTCCATACAGAAGGAAGACTTTCTGCATCCTTCGCATTTAAATATTCGAATAGCAAAAAACAGAAAGTTCGGATTATTGAATGATCTCGTTAACCTAGAAAACGCCATATATAATGAGGATCCAAAGAAACTAATAGATGTTAATAAGAGGGTGGTCGATCTAGCTGAAGCAGTCCATAAGAATTCTACTAGTAGGCCTAATTATTTGAAGAAATTGAAATGGATTATGCATAAACAAAAGGTTAGAAATACCAAGAAAAACCTTATTGCTTTTCACATATGGGACCAAATAGAATTACCGGCAAGGATCAAGGAGCTTCTAGAAAAAGGCCCAAATTTTATTCCAGCGGATGCTATGAATTGGGAAACTTCCGTACAGGAAATTGAAAGGGGCATTGTTGGGCTAGATGATTTAAACAATTTTGTCCCAAATGGCGCAAGCACTAGCATCTGTAGTCGAATGGAATAAGGCAGCCATCATAAAACCTCTATCTTCCCCATCTTTGGCGTTGACAGCTGAAAAGTTACAGATTTATAGGAGTAAAATACAGGAAGGCTGTTTAAATGCGAGGGATACAGAAAGTCTTCCCTCTGCATGGAAGTTTATAGTTAAGAAATTTAATAAGAGTTCTAACCAGTCAAAATAGTAATTTTATTGCATATATTAGTAATTGTATTTCTTAATACTTCTATGTACTGTACTGTACATGTTTTACATTTTTATATTTTTATTTTATGTTACTCCGTTGGTTATTTAATATTTTAATTTTTGAATTTTGTATTCTATTAATGAAATTCTTTAATTCAAATTTGGTTCTCAACCTGAGGATGGCCTGTGAATCGGGCTGAAAACGTTTGTTTTGAAATAAATTATATTTCTCGGCAAGGATAAGGTTTTAGTTATATGTTGTAACCAACAGTCAAAGTATAGAAAAAGATATGTAATATACTCCTAATTAGTACACTCGTAAAACCACATAGTTTTTCTTGTACTTGGAGGGTACATTTATTAGTTTAGCTATCGGGCTTAAGGAGAGAACGGCCGAGTATTAGCGGGAGAAACGAATCGAGGTATGCGGCTACGATTGGGTCGTGGCATAACCCATGGCTGGTATGGCACTGGTCCTCGGCTTCGTAGAGCATAAGGAGGTGTAATCTCCTATTTTGCTTCCGTTTCCGTTTCAGAAACTTCGCTTTCTGGCTCGGGTTCATCGCTCTCACTCTCGCTTTCCAATTCTGTCTGTTCTTCCGGTAATAGTGTTGGTATAGAAGCCATATATTTTGTATATTTTGGCGAGTCTTCTCCCGGTGAGGCGTCAACGGTAATGGGTTGATCGGCAATTATATCGGTTTTGAGATAAAATTCTTTCCTAGCAGTTGTCGGTTTAATTCTGTCCGCATGTACCTTTAACTTTCGCTTTGTTTGGATGTTTTTGATCCTAAAATTAACAGGGCTTAGTGTTTCGATAATTCGATAGGGTCCTGACCAACGCGGTGCTAATTTTTGCATTAATCCTTTTGGAGTGACAACTTCCTTTAATAACACTCTGCTCCCAAGCTGTAACGTGGAGGTTTATTTTGTCGGCGGTGTCGTTCTTGTCTCGTCTCTGCCGCTTGTTCAATATATTGTTGAGCCGTTTGATGGGCGTGTTTCATCCGCTGACGTAATTCGGAAACAAAGTTGTCTTCTGTATCGTAGGATATCGTAGTAGGGCTCGTGACTAAGTCAAATGGATACGTAGGGTCTCTTCCGTATAGAAGGAAAAAGAGACTTTCGTTCGTAGAAGAGTGTACTGACGTATTATAGGAGGATAAAGGGTAGGGGATCCATTCGTCTCAATCTCTTTGGTCGTTAGACACATGGTGAGATAAAATGTCAATTAAGGTTTATTAAATCGTTCGACGACACCATTACAAGCCGGATGATAGGCAGTAGTAAGAAGTCTTTTTATCTGTAGCAGTTTACACACTTCCGTAAACATTTTAGAGATTAAGTTCGGTGCTCTATCGGTTAATAATTGAGTCGGCGTTGAGTGACGTAATACGATGTGTGTGACGTAATACGATGTGAGTGACGAATGCTTTTCAATTGTCTTGCTACTAACATCCGGTAGTGGAACGGCTTCTGCATATCGACTGAAATGATCCACAAATACTAGAATATATTTATTTCCGTTGGTAGTAAGTGGAAGTGGTCCTACTATGTCCATGGCGGTTCGTTCGAACACGCATACGACTAAGGGCATCTGCATTTTTATGAGAGTTTCCTGCCTTGTGTATAACATCAAAGTCGAATTCCTGGAGGAAAATGATCCATCGTGATAATCTAGAGTTCGTCGTAGGATCTTTGCAGTCGAGTAGCCATAGAAGGGGGTCGATGATTTGTGACTATAGTGAATTTACGTCCATATAAATAGGGTTTAAAGTACCTCACAGCCTACACTGTGGCTAAACATTCCTTTTCCGTTGTACTGTAGTTTACTTCCGGCTTCCTTAATAATAGGCTTGCATATGCAATCGGCTTCTCTTTGCCGTTTTCTTTTTATGATAATGCCGTCATAAGGATAAATAACATCTAGGTCCACTAGACAACCCGCAAACTAAAATCGCAAGTCTCCTATTTGAAAGGTAGGACTCATAATACCGTAGGTTTGAATAGGATGACCTGTGGCACTTCTTAGATCTGTTTCTTGGTTACGATCGAGAGGTACAGTACCGTTTTCTTCATCGTGTCTGCAAAAGCTTTAGATAAAAGTGACACCTTAGCCCCTGTATCTATCTGTACTGTGGCCGGATTTCCGCCGATATTACAATCGAGAATAGCCTCGTTTGGTGAGGTTGTATATTTTGTAGAATTTAAAGAAAAAGTTTTTCGCTTCCGTGCTCGCGGACTTTTATGGGTCTGCCGATTTTGGTATACAAAGAAACTCTGCTTCCGTTTAGATGTAGAATAAGGGAACGTACTGTACAGTTTCCTCGTAGATTATATCGAGATCGTCGATCCTCGACGCTTCGAACCTTGCCTCTCCATCGGGTTCGATTTTCTTCCGCAGATTTCGGTCAGGAATCCGTTTCTCGAACGCGTTGACGACCATTATTGTTATTATCTCGGCGGACAGGCGAGTTCCTGTTCTGATTGCTTTGTGTGTACGGTCGCTCTAATCGGCGAGTGGGTGCAGCCTGACGATATTCGTTTCTCCGGAAAAATGGATTATTATAACTCCCACGATTATTTCGTCTTAATATAGGGCTTCTTGCATTATTTATGGATGAGCCTCATACTAAACCGTCCATTCTAGCTTTAAGTTCCTTCATCGCGGTTGTCAGTTGCTCTAAATTGTCTCTTGAGGTGAAATCCGTATGATCTGATTTTCCGTATGATCTGATCGGTAAGATTTTCAATTATTTCCTCACTAATTGCCGCTTTTAAAGCGTCATCAAACGTCTCTGGCTCTCGTGATATAACATGTTGCCTAATCGATTCCGTTTAGGAATTGCGACTTTAGCCGCTCATCTAACTCTTTCCGTTGGAGTCTCTAAATCATGGCAGTTTCCGCGGCATTTGCCCCGGCCTCCGGCGTAATCTGAATTTCCATGACCAACTCTTGAAGCTTAGCAGCGTACGTTTGTACGTCTTCCTCTTTCCTTTGTACGCATGTGTAGAATTTATTTAAGCAGAATGAAAAGGGTTCTCGCTCAAACCGGGTTATCATTATTCGTTTAAATTCATCAAACTCTTCTACCTCTTTAATCCTACGGTCTTTTCTTACAAACTCCCGAGCTACACCAGTAAGTTTTAACTTGGCTACCGCCAGCATTTGTGCTTTCGACCAAGCCGCTACCTTTGTGACATCCGCTAATGAGTCAAAAAAGTCCGTAACTCGGAGACTTCCCTTACCGGCAATAAGGGAATTATTCCACCCAGACCTCCCAAGGTGATTGGGTTTGTAGTAGGATTGGAATTTGGATTAAGATTAGAGTTTTCTGCCGCAGACGCACGTTGGGTATCGCCCTCCATTATTTCTCCTAATCTTAAATCTACTTATAACGATTCTAATAATTCTCCTAATTTTAAAGTCTCTAACGCGACTACAATCGACCATTTTACTCGAATATAGCCTTTTTCCGCCTTACCGATAGTTCGAAAAAGTCGAACCCAACTCCTGAAAAACCAATTTGTGGGTAGACCTTGAGGTAGGACGGAGTCGTACCTCTTTCCTCTTTCGGGTCGCGTTACAAGCTGCTTAACTTAAGCCTGCCCACTGGTCAGAGGATGGCTTGTTAATTTTTTCTATCCCGAAAAATCGGGATTCTTTTTGTCAGGTCGGGTGGAGGTAAGAGGGGTTGTCGGTAAGACGTTGGCGATATTTAAATAAAAGACACCATTTATCAACAAAACAAGAATTTATTAGACAATAGCTTAGATAACATAACTAACATCGAGATTCTATCGACCTTACACGCGGAAGTGGATAGGTGCGCGACGAGAGAGAGTTTAGAATATTCGTTATCATACCTCTAGGATTTGGGTTACTGACTGACGTGAGAGACACGGACGTCTTTTTCTACGGAAGGCAACGTTGAACAATGACGACGGGCGGCGTTGATGGACATCGATCACGGAAGGTGACGGCCGACGGCGATGTCAAACAGGGACGACGGACCTCAATACGAACGGCGATCGGCGATGACAGGCCCTTCTTCTTCCGTCACACCTCTTTTATACCTCGAGTCACGTTATTCTTCTTCGCCAATAGCAAATTTTTATGTCATAAGAGCCTTGTGATTTATTCTTAAGTTCCTGAGAGATAGGAAACGGCTCCGGGGAAGGAAATGTGTTCATCCGTTTGTTATAAGATTTCGACGAAATTTCGAAAGAAGAAAAAATAGAGGGTTTCTTTGTTTAAATTTAATTTCTTTGTTTAAATTTATTCGGTTCGATCCTCACACTTACCTTTATAACGTTCCGCTTTTACACTTCTATAAATTTTTTTTTCATGTTCTTTGCAGCTGCGAGAGTACTAAAAACGACCCTTTTTTAACCATAGTAAATTCAGCATTAATCGGGTTGCCAAGTTACGAGGTACGGGTTTGGACGTATACAGGATGGCCCTACTAAAACCCTTGGAGAGGTGTCATTCCGGGTTGGATTCCGTTTCCATTAGAACAGTAGGATGACGAATTAACAGCCTCGGTTATAGTGGCAGATTTCCATTAGATCCACTAAACCTAGGGGCACAAAAATTCAAAAATAACTTTTCCTAGAAATAACTCATAAAAAATCAGTGCAATCTAAAGCTTATTTAGAGACAAAGTCAGATATATCAGTTGGTAGTAATACTAACACATCCCATAAAAATCTGGTAAAGCCAGGTAGAAAAAGTAAAGCTCAGCAAAAATATATAAATTAAGGAAATTTTTAAAAGTTGTAGTATGATAGTGTAAGCAGATTTGACAATAAAAATATGTGAATAGTGCACATTGCTTCATCTAAAACTTCCTTTAGTTGTAATCTGTATAACGTGCACTTTATTCACATATTGAGTCTTACTGTCAAATATGCACTACTGTCATCTTACACTATTTTTATATTACAACTTTCAAAAGTTTTTTTCAGTTATATATTTTTGCTGAAAACCTGGCTTTACCAAACTTTTAAAGAGGATTTCAAGTATTTTTCAGTCATCAGTAACTTTATAACAGAATAGTTTTTATGGTAACTCTATATTCATCTAAAAGTCAAGTCATCTAACATTGAAAAATTGAAAAAAATTTCGCAACTTTAACGGATCACCCTAGTTAATCTGCATTAACGGCTTTCGAGCTTTAGCGGTAACATATATATAAATGCTAGTATGTGTGAAGGACACGATTTTCTTCATCTGCTTTCAAGCTTATTAACTCGTGTTTTTTTTGTAGAAAATTTCTAAAATTTTGTTCGCGTATTAGGGGCATTAATGCTATTAAATATCGATGGTTAATGTTCGAGAAAGTGGAGAGATAAAGGGGTCGCGTGTTATATCTGAAGTAGGGTCGAAGTTAATGACTATTTTATTCGTTATTAGCATCTATAATATTTCTAATTAAACCCGTCTCTACCCTCAAAATTAAGCTTTTTGCCGTTTTATAATTAAAAATAAAATATGGTAACAGACGGCGCCACACGCGGTTTCAAATATTGCTGGAAAAGCTAAGCAACTACTTGCAGGATTTTTAAATAAATAAACAAACAGTTGTATCATTTACTATAATGATTTAGTACACGGTGCTATTGTACTGTTTTTTATTTGTGTAGATGTACCAAGTAAAAACATTTTTCCTCTTTTGATTGTCAATTGAATTCCTTCATTGCATTACCTTGTCCACTTATTTGTACTTTGCTCAGCTGTACACTGTAGACTAGCTTATCGTATTGTCATGTCATAACTTTAAGCAATACACTCTGTCTAATCTAGTGATTTTTATAAACTATATTCAGGGTTCCTACTCAAAATTTCATTTTAATAAAATACTGAATTTTTGTTTTGTTTCTCAACATTTGTTACTTCATGTACAGTTTTTGACATTTAATATTATCACTCATTATTGAACATTTTATAGATTTATTTTTCCGTATTTTATTTATACATATATAAAATGGAAAGCACGCGAGGGTCAACAGGGTTCGCGAAGGTTACCCCCAACAGCGTTCTCCCATTTTAAACATTGGTTGATGGCCAACCTACATAAAATTCATGTTTGTTTTATTAAAGCGGAATTAAAAAAACTCGTTATTTTGCCTGGGGGTAAGCGTAAGAAAAAATTGTTCACGTAAATTCTAGATTTAAAACAATAAAGAAAACCGAGGCCCGAGAACACTTAACTCCGACTTAAGCAACATAGAGTAAGAATTGGCTTTGTGAAGAGATGAGGAACAGCATCACAACGTCAAGCTCGACTTGAAGCTCCTCTCAATTCTTCAATCTTTATTTTCTCATAAAAAATGTTCCGTCGTGTTTGGCGGAAAAATTTCCAGTATAATAAATATATAAATGAAGGCACAGACTGAAGATAAACAGAAACTGAAAACTCCTTACTCCATTTGTTATCGATTTAAAGACACGTGATAAATTTAAACCAATCACAATGCACAACTATGCCAAACTCGGTTACAGGGCACCACCATTAAATTCTTATGGCATCGTTTTAGTTAAATTTATTCTTTTAGATTTATATTATTCCTAATTACAGATATTTATAACTGAAATATAAAAAAAAAATAACGATTGTACATATGAATATATTTATTTTAATACTGTATTAAAACAATTTATAAAAAACAAAACAAGAAAAATGCGAACAAACACGTAATATACAGTACTTATTAAAATATTTTATTATTAAAGCATTTTATTATACATTACTGACATAGTCAGATTGTATCAATAGATTAAAATACATTAATCCTGAGATTATTTCCACAAATTATTCAAAATTTGCCAAAAATGCTTAATTAAAAGTCTTAATATCTTTTTTTAAAGATAACATACATTTATTTCCATTTTTACTAAAGACTTTGTGTTCATAATGTTAAGTATTTTTAATATATGTTATACTTAAAATTAATAATAAAAATATCGAGAAGTCTGTATTGTTCCATCTATCCTAGTGCGTATATTATATTAATGCAAATGAAACAGAATAATTATTTTAAAATATTTAAATTATTTCGAGGCATTTCACAAGAACAACTCCATTGTGAAAAATTACTTCGCACGTTTATTTAAAATGTAATTTGAACAGAATATTTTTGCCACAAGCATTACATTTCTTAACGCATAAGTCGGAATTTCACTTCATGTGCCTAATTAATCCAACCTACTTTTTAAATGTTTTCTTGCATATTTCAATTTGTAATTCGATTTTGTTTTAAATTCGCTATTACAATGGCCGCTAAAGTACTAATAATTATGATAACGAGTTGATGGCTTAAAAAATGTTTAATATAAAAACCTTTGTTACACACTTCACTAATGTAACGAAGATTGTCTTTATTGTCTAGGTGTATTATACTTTTTCAAATAATTTATTACACATTGTACACTTTTAAATGTGTACTTTCGAATGTTCTTCTAATGTGTTTTTAGTCTTAAATGGCTTGTTACAAATATTGCATACATACATATTTTCATGTTTAGTAAGACAATGTCTGGCTAAGGCAGGTTTATAGGTATAACATTTTTTACATATGTCACAAGCATACTTTTCTCTATCGCTATGAATTACTTTGTGCTTTCTTAAATAATGCTTTGTTTTAAAATATTTGTTACATATATGACAAGAATATTTGTATTCATCGGTGTGTGTACGAATATGCTTTTTTAACTCAGAACTGCGTTTAAAACTTTTGTTGCATACCTGACAAGTATGGTTACGTTCATCACTATGAGTTTTTTGATGCTCTTTTAATAGGCCTCTCAATTTAAAACCCTTATTACAAATATCGCATTTAAAAGGTCGTTCTTCACTATGCATTGCTCCATGATGTATCAACAACTTTTTCAACTTGAATTCTTTTCCACATATCTTGCAGGCATGTATTTTGTGCGTTCTCTTGTGTATCTCTAAACGGCCCTTACCATATGGAACGCGCTTACCACAAATTTCGCAATACAGATTTTCCAGCTTGCAATTAGATCTTTTACTATGTCTAAGTTTATGTCGTCGCAAATAATATTTTTCTTTTAAATATTTGTTACATATATCACAGAAATATTTTTGCTCATCGCTGTGTGTATTAATATGCCTATTTAAATCACGACTTCGTTTAAAACTTTTGTTACATACCTGACAAGTATGGTTAAATTCGTCACTATGAACTACTTTATGAAGTGACAAACACTGTTTTGTTTTAAAACTTTTGTTACATACCTGGCAAGAATAGTTAAGTTTATCATTATGAGTTTCGTAATGGTTTTTTAGTACGTTTTTCCTTTTAAAACCCTTATTACAAATATCGCATTTGAAAGGACGTTCGTCACTATGAGTTTTTTTATGCGTTTTTAAATGATCTTTCCATTTATAACTCTTATTGCAAATATCGCATTTAAAAGATCGTTCTTCACTATGCACTGCTCCATGATGTAACAACAACTTTTTCGACTTGAATTCTTTTCTACATATTTTGCAAGCATGAACTTTACCATTTCTTGGAGATGAATTCACTCGATTCCCAGATGGCCGCAAACGTAAATTCCTAAGAGAGATTTCGTTTTTATTTTCAGTTTTGTGTTCTTTCACGTGTTTTCTCAATAGAAATTGCCACAAAAACTTCTTATTGCACGTTGTGCAGCGAAATGGTTTTTTACCAATATGACACAACAGATGTGTTTCTAATACTTTCTTATATCCAAAAGTCTCTTTACATAAATCACACGTAAATTCCTGTTTAGAACGAGGTGCAAACTTAATCCTAACGTATTTCCTTATAATCTTATCATAAATTGTATTGCATTTTCTATTCGAAAAAACGTATTTTTTTGTTTTGATATATTTGTAACACTTTCGCTTTTTTGAATTGTGCTGAATTTGCTCTTCCTTTTCAACTGAAAGTTAAAAAATAACATAATGAAGTAATACCTATTACATTTCTATAAACATAATATAGCTTCAATATTAAAATATTAGAGCTCTAGTTGTATATTTGATGAAGTATCCTAGGTTTTTCATTTAATAGCAAGGCATCATTTGTTGTTTGCACGAAAATTTTAACATCTTACAACCATAAACTGATTGATTCTGCTTTAGTTTCTTTATCAAACTTTTAAATGAGTGTGAAATATTAAATTGTTTCACTTTATCTGTTTTCTTTTATTTATTTTTTTTCTGTATGTAGTTTGTTCTAATGGTTATCATGAAAACATAGAAGAAATCGTATGCTTTTAGAGAGAGAAAGAAATCTTTAGTGTAAAAGACAAAGTTCCACAGCCGAAGCCAAGTCCAAGTAGAGAGAAAAAATCGGTTAATTTTAAAGATTTTTTGTATCAAAATTCGTTAATTTGAGCGTATATCCAGTAGATATATACGTTTTTCATATATTCGTAACGTGTTTTCTAATACGTTGCAAATATTTACTTAACTATGTCATTAAATAAGTTATAGAGCCCTCGTTTACTTTGTTTCAATACATTTTCTTTACTATTTTAGCGGATCCATGAACAAAGAAAAGTAACATAAATCATTAAATTACAACTTATGAGTTGTGATTTAATAATTCTGATCTTGCCAACAAATTTTTATTAACTTCAAAAGTTATATTAATACGATGTAGGAAGTTACTTGTAGACTATTTCTCAAATATCTAATGCCAGATAAATGTATGACAGTTGAAACTTGAATGCAGTTTTTCAGCTGCCTTCTAAATAATACTAGATTAAAAGGTCTGATCTAAGTAACATGTTACTTACTTTGAATGTTCATTTCATTCCTGTTAGAGTTTCCTTCCGGAGTGAAAAATTCATTCTTGACAGGCTAAACCATATATAAACAATACATGACAATCACTAATAATCACTTATGATAACGAGTTGCTCAACTTTCCCTGCAACGTTTTAAAATTTTGATGGCGCTGTCTGTAATGAAACGTTTTTTTAAATAAAATATGAACTGAATTTTGAAACTAGAGATAAATTTTATTAAAAAAAAAGTTAAATGCGAATAACGAGTAAAATCATCATTAAGTCCAACCCTACCGCCATTATCTCTCCATCTTCTTGAATTTTAATCAGCAAAATTTAATAGCCTTAATTTCCATAATAATCAAACTTTGCTGCAATATTGTAAAAATTTTCGACAAAAAGAACAGGAGTTATTAAGTTTCAAACAGGGTGAACAAAATCGTGCAACCCCAGACACAAACATTCATACATACCAACCTGTCAATGAATCTGAAATAAAATCTCATTGTTTATTCTATAATTCATCGTGCGCAGAAAGAGCAGAAATACCCAAACCATTAACTGAGAGCAATTTGAAACATATATAAATTTAATGTTAAAATTTTCTTTTTACTTTCTCGTTTGTTATGTATGTTATGTATGTTTGTTGTGTATATACAAGGTATGTCTCGTTTGTAATGTATATGTTAGACTCAAAGACCGAAATGGCTCAATGAGCGATTTCAGTCTTTGAGTCTAACATATACATAACAAACGAGCTATAACAATACAAACATAACTAACGAGCCTAACATATACATAAACAAGGAAAAGTATTGATATAGTGTCAAATTTCACCCTCCGATTTTTGCAAATTTCCAGCTTTTAAGATTATCTAATCCGAAATTTTGTACCATACGTTGTGTATAAGGAGCATTAATGGTATTAAATTTTGGTAAAGAAACGTCCAGGAGTAAAGAGATAAAAAAGGGAAACGTGTAAAATCTCGAATAAATTCTTCGTGGCAATAAATTCTTAGCATCTATAATTCTTCGTGGAATGCATTTCTACTATTAAAGTTAAGCATTTCTTCATTTTATAATAATTAAAATTATAGAGAGTTTTTATAAAATATTGCGCCACAAAAAATTTTATTTATTTATTATGATTAATAATATAAATGTTATTTTTTAAATAAAATCTCTTAACAGACAGGAAAGCTACGCAACTCGTTGTTAGATATTTTCTTATATAATACCCATATTATTTATTTAATATAGAATACACCTAAATTCAAAGCATAATATTATATTAGTGATATTAAGCTATGTTTTTATTTATTCAGTAAGCTAAGGTAATATTAAAATTTCACTTTAAATTTTTCGAAATATTTATTACTTATCATTACTTGTTTATTATCATCTGGATAATGATTAACTTCGTTACAATTTTTAGTCTTTACTTCAATCTTCAATTTTTTCAAATCAACTTTACATTCTGATTTTATTTCATGTTTTACATCCCAATTATTTTTTACATTTTCTTTCTTGATATCTGTAGTGGAATTTAAAATGTTTTGTGTTAAAGTAATTTAAGAAAAACTTGAAATATAAAATAAAACTGAGCATATTTTCAATAATTAACATAACAATATTAAATTACATGCTTCACTACATTATTTGTGATTACAAGCCGAAAACTAGCTATTTGTCGCGGCGAATTGGTGTGATGTGTGACACAAATTATAATAAATGTGATTAGAAACTTCTTCGTTATTAAATAAACAAGCAACGACAGCTGTATTAAGTTTCCCGGAAATATTTAAAACTATATGTGGCATCATCTCTTATAATATTTAGTTTAAAATATATAATTATAACTATTATAAAATAAAAATAAAAAAAGTTTGATTTTGAGGTTAAAGATGACTTTTATAAAAAAATGTAAAAGAGAAAATGAGTAAACTCCTCATCAAGTCTGACCCTACTGAAGATAAACACGTCCCCTATCCATCTTTAATTAATCACAAAACCATAAAAGCATTTTAATAAGTCTAAAAAGTCCTTTTAAATAACAAACTTTTCTTCTAAATTACAGAAATTTTCCTCAAAAAGCACAGTAACGAAAATGTTCGGGAGGATTATTTTTATTCTCGTAGATGTTGTAAAATATAACAAATAAGTTGTTTAATCAATCAAAGTTCGACCTTCCGGTGTTTCACAATTATCAAAGTCTGATTCTCTATTAGCACAAAAAAATATAAAAGACCTTACAAAATTCTATTTGTCGACGTTGATAACTTTATGTATGAAAATTCAGACGTATGTCAAATGTACTGTACAGTGCGTTACGTGTAATCTGCGTGTCACTCCCTAACACTTCGTTTCATATATATTACATATATGTATATGCAATAAAATCCTTTATTCAACACAAGTAATGTGTAAGTATAGACGAAGTGTACAGGGATTTATTTTCATGTGCATTCTGGGTGGATAAATATTTTGTTTTCATGGCATTCCAACATTCTTTAGAAGCACATATTGCTTAGTACATAGGTCAACAGATAAAATTTACTGCGTGAGTAATACAATCGTTATTTAATTAGAAGCTGATCCAGAATTTCGGTATTTATTAAAAAAAATCAAATTTAATCATATAATCGGACTGTAATTTAAAAAATTGTAGGCCTATAAATTCTCACTGTAATCTGTCTGTGTGTGAATTCTTTCTTAATCTCGAGAAAAACTAAGATAAAAGCCAAGGTAGGATAATGCGGAAAGTTTAAGGGCACGACACACCGATTAACTATGTTGGAACTTTTGGTGAAACACGAAAGTTACGTTATTTCAATTAAAATCTTTACTCCTGAAAACAGTTAACAAATGATCGGCAAAACTCCATTGTTAAAGGAAAAGTATAATGTACAGAGGCAAGCCACTATTAATTTGAGATGAAGAGCATATATTTTAAATTAAATACATTAAAAATATAATCATAAATTGCAGCCTAGCATTTGTGACGATGCCATAATAAACAATTTCTCTTTTCATTGAAATCTAAAATATCTAAATTGGACTTTTCTCTGTTGTAAGATTCTTATCAATTGAATTGACAATTTTAAATCTGTCAACTGAATTAATCGTTATTGATAATATTAAATTCTATTTAAATCCTTATTCACTATACACGACGTATTCGCAACATTTTTCAAATGTTATCATTTCCATTTATATAAATAAAAATGTATGTAGTGCCTATTATTCTTATTCTTATTAAAAGTATTAAAACACTTACCTCTTTCGATTTTATAACCGGAATGATTCCACATAGTGGACCCGTTTGTGTTGTATGCAGAAATTGGTTCTCTTTTAATATTTATCTGAAATAACAGAAGATTACGTTATATTATTAGACAGATTAATCTTTATAGAAAAACAAATGAAAAAATTATTTAAACTTAAGCATAAAAATACGGTCACTGAATTTAAAAACGAAAAAAATATGGCCTACTAACTACACTAGACCCCCTATAACACTGTATATAAATCCGTGTTATATGAATTGCATGTTGTACGAGTCACTTAGATTTTACATATACGTGAGCGAGCTGTGAATGGCTCACGTATATGTGAAATCTAAGTGACTCATGTTTTCTCTTAATAGTAGTGTCTGTTATTTATTTAACACCTTTCGAAAGAAAATTTTGAATTCAAACGACGGAAATTCCGGTTTTCAGCATATATACGTATACAGTTTATTGGAGCCTCCTTCCCAATTAAATGAATCTAATATTATATGAATATTTGTTTTTTGAAATACTGTATGAATATGTAAGTAATGGTTTATTAAGAATCGAACTGCGATTTTAAAATAGACTTATAAATTTCCACTTTCTTTAGTCTGTACGACTGTTTGACTGTCCTTTCTTAATTTCGACAACAGAGTTAGATAGGCTAAAGCCGAGACAAGATGTGGAAAACTTAGGGGCACGAGGCCCCGATTAACTATACAAGAATTTCTGATGCAAATCGGAAGTGACGTTATTTCAATTTACGTAAACGTCATCACTCTATTACTAACAGGAAAAGTATAATGTAAACAAGCAAGCCACTACTAAATTCAAGTGAAGAGCATTTATTTTAAAATAAATAAAATATAATGAAAAATTGCAACCCTGCATTGTGACCATATCACAATAAATATCTGCTCGTTGATTGTCTTTTCTTTTTTCTAATTAGAATAAGTTTGAACTTCTTATACTTTCGGATCTCGAAATGCGTATTTGAAGCGAAGGCATAAAAATCGTGTCAGATTTGACTCTCAGCTTTTGGAAACTTCTATCTTTTAAGACTTCCTGACTCCCAAAAAATGTTTAAAAATATAAAGATTTTACTTGTGATTACAAATTACAATATTTATAAAAATACGATTTATCTTTAATCTGAAAATTAAGCTTTTTTCCTTTTTATAACAACTAATAATATGAACAGGTTTTTGAATAAAATTTCTTAACAAACACTTTTGAAGTTTTTTGCCGGAAAAGTTACGCAACTCGTTTATGGATTTTTTTCGCTAAGAGATACAGTAATTTTAAGTTTTTTATTTTGTGATAATCAATCTCTCGATTATCGTCAATCTCCAAAAGACTTGATCGAAAATAGGAGAGATCTCGAGTCGAGTTCTACTGGTGCTTAAGCGTGATGGGACTTAAATGTTTCGAACACATATTAACTTCATTTATTTTACAAATACAGTAGAGCCTCGATTATCCGACCTTCGATTAACCGTCACCTCGGTTAACTGACCGTCCTAGTTGGCAAATTACAAATGTCCGCTAGTGATGTGCCGCTACAATATTTGGCTATGTCTTGGCTACTTTAATATTATTTTTACGTGTTTTAGCTGGCAACACTGGATCGACCACGAAAGGGAGCCAGTATTTAAACGAGGCTTAATTTTCTAATTTTTAACGATACAATAGCGACAATTATTATTTTAAAAATTTTTGTTAGGCTTAACATGGAGGAAAATTCAACGCGAAGTAGGTAATAACGATATACTAATATACAGTAGAGCGTCGTTTATCCGAATCAATTGGGGACTGGGGTGGTTCGGATAACGAATCGTGTACGAAAAAATATATTAATTTATCCCATGTTGAAATTTTTCTCCGTTGCGTGTCGCTTTGCGTTGAATTTTCGTCGATGTTAAGCCTAACGAAGACTATTGTATCGTTAAAAATTATTTTCTTATTTTGTACAAACAAAATAAATATATTGAAAAATATAAAAACAATAAAAAATTATACTTTAGATGTTAATTTAGTATCAAAGACATAAAATATTTGAGTAGCCCGAGAAATTGCCGAAGATTGCAGCGCGAAAATTTAAATTTTCCAACTGGAATGCTTTCGGATAACCAGCTTTCGGATAAACGACGCTCTACTGTACTAATATACTAATTACATAGGATATAATATTATACTACACTAATAATGAATTTTTTCATACTTTTCGGTTATCCGACTTTTCAATTATCCGACCAACCCCAGTCCCCAATTGAGTCAAATAATCGAGGCTCTACTGTATAATGCATTAAACTCAAACTATACAAACCTGGAATATAAAATTATAGATACAAATGTAGATACCTTCAAAATATTACATAGAATTAAGCATGAAATGAAGCAATATCATCTACTACCAATCAAATTACAAAATTTCTCTGAATAAATCGTAACTTGTCTAAACAAGTACTGATCCTGAAATAATAAAAAAAAATCTAGCAAGGAGTTGCGTTACTATCCCGGCAGTTATGAGATTTTATTTTGAAAACCACATTTTAATTATTAACCATAATAAATATATAAAATTGTATGTATGGCATGTGTTAAGAGATTTGGTTTAAAAACTTTACATACTTTTAATTGTTATAAAATAGAAAAAGACTTAATTTTGATGATAGAAATAAGTTTATAAAGCATTGTAAATAATAACAAGTAAAATCTTCAATAAGTTTGACCCCTCGCGAGATTTGACACATAACCAGTGGCGAGCCGTCTATGCAAGCTGTGTAAGCGCAGTTTTCCTTGTATTTTCCTAAAACATAAATACATATTGTGCGATTACTTTCATATTTTAACATACTTTGAATTAATTAATGGTCGTTAAGGGGTTAACTTAATTTTTATTAAAATTAATATTATATTATATTCGAATTATGTATTTTATTTACATTTTTAAACTATAAGTAAAAAACAATAAGATTCGAATATAAATTCGTATATGTTTATTCTTAATAGAAGCGTTGTATTGCTGAATATTAAGCGAAAATAAGCGAATTTTTTGAACGATACAGCTATATTGGTACTGTATTTTGTTCTTATCGGATAACTCAATTAACAGAAGTCGTCGTGATTTTCTAAGACGGGTTTAATACCAGTATTTTAAAGATACGATTTTATTATTTCTTCTCATAATACGACTTCGTTATATCAATGATGATCGCGGAATGGAAAAAGGAAAATACTGTAGGTCTAAGGTAAAATAAATTGCGTTTTCCCTCAGTTAAACTTCGCCGCAAAACCTCGTTGGGATAAACCATTTTCATTTCTTTGATAACTTTAACAGGATCTTCTAAGAACAGCACTTTTCATTTCTTTCGTTTTTCGAACAAACAAATGAATTTCTTTTGTTGCTAGACTAATCCATTAACACCTGCACCTAATTTCAAGAGTGATAGAAGTGCCCGAGATGGGGTTTAACAAGAGTTTAGATTAATTCGTTATTTTTTGACGGAAAAACGTTGTTGAGATGGGTTCGAACAATACTGTAGACAGTATTGTTCGAACCCATCTCAACATTAATTCGCAAAATTAGTCGTTTTTTACAGTTGTTGTATGTTGTTTCGAACCAAAAATCGATACCAACAGTCGCGTTACAAACGTGGTCGTTTAGTACAGGTAGTTTCTACGAAGACACTATATATAAACTGACCCACCAGTGGCCAATCGGTCTTCGTTCCGTGAACACTGAGAGTTCGCTCGTAAGTTCGGGCCTCGCTCTGACGGGCTGAGCACGTGGAGTTTTCTGGGTATTCACCACGTCCGTAACGTCTAAATAAGGGCCAGTTTCCTTAAAAAGACCTCTCAACTAGGCAGTTCGCCCGAGTGTCCCATTGCCTAACTAAACAAACTATGTATAAACTATTCTGTGCCAGAAACTTTTGCCCGTTTTCACAGGTGCCTGTCGAATGCAGATGGCATATATATATGCCTGTCGAATGCATTCGACAGGCATATATATACATGCATTCGACATGCGACATGCGACATATATACATGCATTCGAATGCATATATATACATGCATACATGCATACATATATATGCATTCGACAGGCGACCATCTGCATTCGACAGGCATATATATATATATATATATATAAGAAGCCAGTTTGATCTTTTTATTACTTTTTTGGGTTCAGGAAGTCTCATAACGTAGAGATTTGCAAAAAAGTCGGAGAGTCAAATATGACAGGATTGCATTACTTTTCCTTGTTGACAAGACTATGTCTTGTTTATAAAATCGTACTGCCCGATGTTCTTACCAACATAGAGGTTTGAAGGAGTACATGTCGAGAGTTGATATTTGGCACAGAGTATTAGGTGCCCAAATCACTTGCGCATGAAAAAATCCATACTCGTAGGTAGTCAGGAAACCGAGAATCGAGTCAAAATAAAATACAAAATGGGGACCCTCTTTTACAAACAGGAAAAACAGCCGCCTCACCCCACCGAAGTCAGGTAAGGGAGAGTACCACCCACAGTCATTCTAAGTGAACTCTGTGAACTCTGACCTTAGGACCGAACACGTAGTTTCTTCTATGTTAAATAAAATTTGTAATCTAATTTTGTAAATTTGGGAGTGCTTCAAATATGATGTTAAAACGGTTTTATGTCGTTACAAGTGAGTTTTTTTTTAACATTAACTAGTATAGTAAAATCTTAGGACCGATAAAAATTTGACGTTATATTAAGGTTGTCGTTACATTCGATGGCGTTATAATCGGGTTAAACTGTATATTGTTTGTGCAAAATAAAAAAAATAATAATTTTCGACGATAAAATAGCCACGATTATTTTTTCAAAAACGGAAACTTTTCGTTACGCATCGACAAAAATTCAACGGAGAGAAATTTCGAAATTAGATAGGTTAATTTCATCGAAGATGCATCCTGGACGTGGCCGGCGAATATTGAACGATCGCGCCCTAAAGCAGTGATATCAAAGAAGATAGGAGAATGAGAACGAGACCTGCCTTGAGCATGAAGTGATTCCGTCTCCGAAACATAGTCTTGTCTCAAATACGGTTTTGCCGTT